CTTGGATGCTAATCTTTGTGCTGTGAGAACTCCTGGTTCATATGCTGAAATTTAGAGATATATTCTCAGAATAACTGTTTTAAATGTTTAAGATAGAATATGTAAGATTACAAGGAAAACCAGGTTTTTTGATATATTGTAATCAAATTATTTCTTTTTTTAAAATGAAGCATTAAATAACAGGATCTAAGGGCAGATGTTTTAACTACCATAATATCAAAGAAATGATGAATATATAAATATAGATGTTTATAGGTATCTGTGTCCACTCTATTTTTAAAATATTTTTTTAGTTGTAGATGGACACACAATATCTTTACTTTTATGTGGTGCTGAGGATGAACCCAGTGCCTCACACAGGCAAGACAAGCACTTAACCACTGAGCTACAGTCCCAGCCCCTCTGCATTCACTCTATGTTAATATATTTGTGCTTTTTATTGGTTATATTACAAGCACCAACAGTATTGTGATTTGCTGCCAATATTTACAATGGAAAAAAATGCTGGATTTATTAGATGTTAGTGACCTCCCAATCTGTTAACTCAGGATAGCAGTAGTACCCACTTCCATCAGTTGTTTTAAGAATTTAAAAATATATTGTATGTAAAAAATCTCTGCAAAATGCGTAAAGCCTCCTTGTATATTAATAAAAATTTATTTCTCAACAATAAAAATGGGTTTCTTAAAGGCAAGATGACATTCATTGCGAAGTTATAAAGAGAAAAATGAAAAAGGGTGAACATCTCTGTTTTAAATCACATAAAGGTCCTCACTTTAGAATTACAAATCTTTAGAATTACAAAACTTTTGGTTCAAAACACAGGTTTTAATGAGTGTAATCATAGATCATTAAGTGAAGAAACCTGGCTGGTATGATGTTGACAAATACATGACCTGAATCTTAAAGTAAATTATTTCATTTTTCAAGAACTAAACATTAATAGCAAGATGACCAGGTTAAGAAGTAGACAAATGATTCAATGTAATATCATGCACACATTGAAATGTTAAAAAAAAAAAAAAAAAAACAAACAAAAAAAACTAACAACACACCAAAAAAGCTCATGATGTAATGTTAAATACAGTAGTCATAAGCCTTCTTGGATATATTCAGCTGTAAGATCTTCTTTGGCACTACTATTTTGTTAGTTTGGATTATGATTCATTCTGACTACAAAGATTTCTATTTTCTTGGATCCAATTTGCAATTTTTAATAGAAAATATCATTAGTTACAAATTGTTCTTTCAGTTTATCCCACTTTACAGTTCAAATTTCATCTAAGCTATTCCTAACTCTATCAACAACTTCATCATCTCTAAGCCAAGCTATTTTCAAAACTTATACAGCTGTGAAAGATAATCTAGTGCTTTAGTTTACTTGGGTTTTTTTACTCCCCTGCTGCTGTTTTTATTATCCAATCAAGGGTATTAACAAGAAAATATAACATAACTTCAAAGCATTTCAAAAACAAAGATTCCGGTCATTTAAGATAATGCGAAATTATAACTAAGACCATGACTAACAAGATCTAAGATTAACATCAGTCCCTTTTTTTTTCCTCTACTGACCCATTTTAACAAAAAACTTGGTTTTGGAAATACACATTATCTCTGAACAGCTGGACACAGATGCAATGATTAAACTAAAGCATGAGATACCAAATGGTAAAACATTTAATTTCTAAATTTATGACACAAGAACTGCTTAGAAATCAAAATTGTACACAGATGGCTATTATATCATACTTTCACTAGAATAAAATAATGCAGTAAGATAGGAAAAACCACACTACATTTGTCAACAAAACAGAATATGATTTTGAGAAACTGTCACTGGACTGCCTTTAAGATTAACTCTACAATGATTAAAATCAATCTACACAAAATCAACTTTTATAATGGCCTAACTACAGTCTGGGTCCTTCAAAAGAGTACAATGGGTCTTTAAATCAAATGATAACTCTACTGCAGAGACAGAAATACTGAGTAAATACTAAAGCAAAGTGAAGAAAAATAAAGTGTTACTGCTAAAATTTGTCTTTGTTAAATGATTAAACACATCTACCCACTCAAAAAGTCATGAATATCTACATACCATAGCATGTTTACTAGCTCCAAAAATGTATGTGTGTTTATGTGTGTGTGTGTTTATGTGTGTGTGTGTGTATATGTATATATATATTTTTTAATGTTGGCCTAGGTGTAAAAATTATAGCCATTGGCAGTGAGACATACAGAAAGGTGAGGCCTTAATAAAAAGCTGTAGGGCTGGTACACAAAAGTTTATAGATGCTAAGAATTAAGAGTATTTGCAAGGAGGGAAAAAAAGACAATCTTTCAAAATAATGATTGGAGAAATCACTAAGCAGCAAGATAAACAGAAACAAATACATGGGATTTTCATTTAGTTACTGAAAATGAGTAGTTCATGTACAGTGATCTAAAGCAGGATTTGGAGAAGTTCCTATGTTGTAGGATACCTGTAAATCTGCTTTGATCCTGGAATTAATATACACTGTCTACCCACATGGGATAGGCTGCTGCCAGGCTCCCTCCCTCCACTGAAAAGCCCTAACCCAAAATTCACATGATATTTACAACCCAGGATACTTCAAATTTATTAACTCCTTATTAAGCACAGCATGTGTAGGCAATTTCAAGAAATAAGAAACTACAATAAACAGAAGGGTTTATTTATTTGATAATAATTAATTTTCCCCAATTAATAATATCTAACATTTCATTCATAAATGGGGGAAAATCTCATTGCAAATTTTACAGAGAAAACCACTGAAAATGTTAAATAATACCTCAAGAATTTGAATTTTCCAAATTCCATCAAATATTATTTCTTGAAATTCTTATTTAAAAACTTCTCCATTTAAAATGCATTTAATATATCCCATTATTATAAGTGTCACAAATTATAGTCACAAATATAAAAAAATAATTAAAAATATTTTTCATTTCAGGCTTTAGAACACTCAGAATCTGGTGACAGATCTGTTCATTTAAAACAGTCAATATCACTAGGGAAAGAGTTATCAAACTGAAAGGTAATTTTCAGTCAAAATAATGCTAAGCTCCAAATTTCTTTCAATAGGAATAATATTAAATACAAGTGACATTCACTATGCAGAACTAGATAACTAATGTGTCACTATACATTTTTTAAAAGATGACTGAGGATAGGGACAAGTGGGGAGGCAGACAGTGGCGACCTCTGGAGGATGGAATCTCTTCTCTCTGCTGGTCCTAGAAGAGAAAAGAGACACCAATAAGCATCAACACACTGTCCAAAGTCCTCCCCACCCGAGATCCACCAGTCCACAGGTGTTTCTCAACCTTACAGCCAACCTCACCTTCAAATATGGTAATCAGTGCCAACAGAATGTCAAAAATATTACCTATCTTAATTTGATTACTTCTGTCTTTAAAAATATTATTTACTTTTACATAATTGTAATCTGCATGAAATGGTGCAGAAAGCAGCCAGACTTCTGAAAGTAATACCTCTTAACATTCATATGAATAATAGCTTTCCAAAACCATTTCACTCAATTATTTTAAATTATAAGGAGGCTTTCAAATAAGATCTAAATTCTCCATAAGTGTATATGTGCTATTGCATATGAAACGCGTAGCTACTACCAAATATTTTGGTTATATATTGTTTGCGACCTACTCAATGGTCACAGGTAACAGAAAGGATGGGGAGATGGAAGTGCTTACATCAACCTGACAACGAGAAATTAATCAACTTGTACAATTCGAAAAAGGTTATTATACTCTGGAAAGAAGCCTTAAAACAATGGAAATTCAAAGAATGATGATCTATCTAAATAATTTAGACTGGCAATATTAAATAACCCCCACAGTTCTGTAATACAAATAGCAAATAGAATTCTACAGAATTTTATTTTTCTAGGAAGTACAGCTGACTGGTAATTCCAAATCACAAGTTCTTAGACACCATTTACACTTTACACAACCAGTTCTCTGAATCACTGTTATTTTCTCACATATCACTGTGGAAGGCCTAGTTACTAGAAACCATGTCCAAAGTAAACTCTATAGTAAACTGAACTCAGTCACTCAAGACTAAGACCCAAATGTATACAGTCGGGAATGAATTAATTTAAATTAAATAAACAGCATCTATGATTACATACTATTACTCTTTCCAAGTAGCATACCAGGCACTAGAAATACTAAAGTACAGGACAATGTCTGGTCATGTAAAACAGCAGAGAAAATGCCTTTTTGGAAGCCCTGAACGTTTGAAAACAAAGGTTCTTCTGGAATCGCTGGCTCTGAGTGAATGCAATTTTAGCTTAAGTTGTATTTTCTAACTAAAGTAAGTAAAGTAGGTGAACTGTTTCTGGGTTCCACTGTGCATCTACATTGTACTAGCCGCAAACAAGTCCACAGGGATGTAATAAATCTAAAACTGAACGCCTGAGAGAAGTTTGGGAAGCGCCAGAGAATCAGGTTGAACGTCTGGTTTTGTGAAACCATTAAGAATTTTAGATCTGGATAAGAGCTCAGCAAAGAAAGGAATTCACACAACCAGTCCTCTGAATCACAGTTATTTTCTCACATATCATTGTGAGAAATTCTGAACAACTAAATTCTGGACAATTCCTCGGAAACACAACAGTAACCAAAACAGAAACAACTGTTTGACCAAGCAGACAGGCTTTTATGGCACCTTTCCTGGGAGCTTCAAATGTCTTCATAAGTCACTCAACTGCAATTGCTGCAAAGATGTAAGGTGCTGGGGCGGCAGCACAGGGCGGAGTGCGTCCCAGTGGCCGAGACCAGGCAAAGGCCACCTGCCCGCAAGACCACGTTCACCGCGAAGGCTGGCCTCGCCCCTAGCGCGCCTAGCGCGACTCCCAATCGGCTTTGGCCCGCGCGCCGCTCTCGTGCTGAGGGCGCCAGTCACCGCATCCCACGGCCAGCGGCTCAGCGGCCCGCGCCCGCAGTGCCCGTACCTCACGCCGCTGCTCCGAAAGCCAGCGGACCCGCGCCGGGCCGTTCCCGGGGACACCACGCGGGGTGCAGCGCTCTCGCCCAGCGCCGGCCCTCGGCCCAGGAGACCACGGAGGAGCGAGGAACCACGGGCCAATACTGTCATGGCCGTAACACCGGCTTCCCACCCCGGGTTCCACCTCCCGCAGCTGGAATCCTCACCGCCAGAAGCCGGCTCTGCCCCCACCCGGCCTGGCGGAGCAAGCGCTTGGGCCAGCTGCCGGGTTCTGGGTCGCTGTGCTGGGCGGGGCCAGGAGCAGAGCTCCGGGTGGGGTTGGTCCGAGAGGAGCCGAGTCCTCAGGGGCGGGGCCAGGAGACGGACCCCTGGGAAGGCGGAGCCCAGAGGAGCCGGGTCCTTAGGGGCGGGGCCAGGATCCGATTTCTGGGCGAGCGGAGGGTATTGAGCGTTCCAGAGAGCTGGAGACCTCAGAGGCTGGCGTTGTGGCCTGGCGGCCGGTGTCTGCACCCACCCACATTCTGCTGACCTTCCCATAGTGAGGGCTCAATGAAGACATCCGTACCAATAACTTCAGGCAGCCCCCCTTTTCCCTAAGTCAGACTCCCGCCTCGTCCCCAGGGTTAGGTGGAATTTGACCTGAAGCTGAAAAGTAATAGGGTCTTTGTTTCCCAATGCCTTTAGGTGACCTTGGGATACCTAGAAGAAAGAAGTCAAGTCTAAAGAGATGAAGATTTGAATATGTGGAGGAGAACCTCTTCCAGCAAGTTCCTTATAAAATGTTTAATATGTGTGTATGTATATGTATGTGTATATATGTATATATATATATATACACACACACACACACATACATATATGCGTATATATATGTATATATGTGTGTGTATACACACACACACGCACACACATATCAGACGATTGATTCGATATTCCAGTTAAGACAATAAGAGTCATAGATAAAACCATCTGCAAAGTCAACAGGAATTATTTCTCCCTGGGGCTGGCTGCAGCTGTGAAGAGTCATAACAATCTCTTTTCAGAACTGCTTTTTGACTGAGAAAATTTGTTTTCAAAAGTTACAGACTGTTAGAAAATTGTTCTTTAAAAAGTATATCACTAAGAATGAGCATCTTGTCTTGCTGATATGTCAATTTGACACAAAGAAACAACCTAGAAGAAAACAGAAAATTTTAGCAACTAGATTTTAGATCTAAATCAAAATATATTTTTTAAAATCCATTAAATCAAAAAATCACACACACAAAAATTAATTTTAAACTGCTGCTGTGCAAAAAGGCACTGTTAGGAGAAAATATTTGTGAAACTTTCTGATAAAGAAAGTGCCCGGTGCCATGGCACACATCTGTAATCCCAGCAGCTGGTGAGGCTGAAGCAGGAGGATCATGAGTTCAAAGCCAGCCTCCACAAAATCAAGATGCTAAGCAACTCAGTGAGACCCTGTCTCTAAATAAAAATACAAAATAGGGCTGGGGATTTGGCTCAGTCAGTGGCTGAGTGCTTGGTACCAAAAAAAAAAAAAAAAAAAAAAAGAAAAGAAAAAGAAATGTTTTGTACCTCAAATATATATATATATATATATATATATATATATAAATTTTAAACTTAATAACAAAAATTAAACAAGCCAGCTAAAAATTTGCAGAATATCTGAACAGATAACCTACCAAACACAAACAAGATACACAGATGAAAAAGAAAGCACATAAAAGAAATATATTTAATATCATTTGCATTAAGGAAATGCAAATTAAATAACCATAAAATACCACTACATTCCTGGAAAAATAGCTAAAGTCCAAAAGCTGACAAAGATATGGAGCAACAGGAGCTATCATTCATTTTGACAGGAATAAAAATGATTTAATTGCTGGGTGGTGTATGCACACCTGAAATCCCAGCGACTGGGGAGGCTGAGGCAGGAGGATCTCGAGTTCAAAGCCAGCCTCAGCAAGAGTGAGGTGCTAAGCAACTCAGTGAGACCCTGTCTTTAAATAAAATACAAAACAGGGCTGGGAATGTGGCTCAATGGTTGTGCCACCCTGAATTCAATCTCCTGTACAAAAAAAAAAAAAATCAATCACTGTTAGTCACTGTTAGTCAGCTGTCACTGTAACAAGAGATAATTAACTTAATTTTTAATTAACTTAAAAAGAGGAAAGGTTTATTTTTGCTCACAGTTTCAGAGATTCCAGTCCATGATCAATTGGCCCTGTTGCTGAGGGTCTGTAAGAGCACATCACATCATGGCAGGAGTATGTAGCAGAGGACACTAATTCACTTGATAGCAGTCAGGTGGGGGCTCCAATATCCTATTCGAGGGTATATCCCCAGTGACCTAACTTCCTTCCACTCATCCCCACCTTTTAAAAATTACACCATCTCCCAACTGGTCCATAGGCTGGAGACTAGGGCTTTAACACATGGGCCTTTAGGAGACATTTAAAGATCCAAACTATAGTAAGTCACTTTAGATGATTGCTTGGAAAACTAACAAAACTTCTTTCAAAGCTAAAAATAGCTTAACTGTATTAAACAGTGCTAAACTATGAGCAGTCATGTTTCTAGCTATTTACACAACTAATTTGAAATTTATATCCTCACAGAAACCTCCATATGAATGTTGATAGCACTTTCATTCATACTCTCCAAAAACTAAGATGTTCTTCAATAGGTGATGAATAAACAAATTGTCATATAACCACACAATGGTATATTATTTATCCATAAAAAAGGAGGTGAGCTCTCAAGCCATAAGATGAAGAAGATGAACTTTAAATGAATATTGATAAGTGAAAGAAACCAGTCTGAAATAATTACATAATGTATGATTTCAATTCTTTGACATTGCATAAAAGGTAAAACTATAGAGACAGTAAAAAGATTAGTGGTTGCCACAGATTCAGAAAAAGAGAAGCTTTAATAGGTGAAGCACAGAGGAATTTTAGGACAGGGAGACCATAAACATTTAGAACTTTATAGCACAAAGAGTGAAACTTGTAGGTGAATTACAAAAAATCATTTAGGAGATCGGTGTTTTCCAAAAAGGAATGCAGACTGTGACAAGATAATCTAACTGCTTTACAAATGTAATGTATCCTCACTGAAAGGGGTGAGGAAATCTTCTTACCTAAGTAACTCTGGAACTGAATAGAATCCTTAAAACTAATGGCAAAAGAAACAGCATATAAACATTAAACAATATTTAATGAAGTTGGAAATATAAGTTAACAATTCTGAAATGGTATGCATATACACTGGAATAGTTAAATAAATAAATGAGGGATGGTGGGAAACAGGTTTCTTGCTTTTGGAGTAAGAATCAACATAAGCAACGGGAGGAGAATAGAATGATCCATATACCAATGGACTAATGTTGGAACATCTTATGAACAGATTTTGGCATAAAATAGATACATATAGTTATGTACAGAAATATTTATAGATGTGTGAATATTCAGGAGTTAGTATGCATACATATTTCTCTGCTTTGTCAGCTGAGACTGCCTAAAAGAGACAATACCTAGTAGCAATAAGTAAACCTAGAACCCAGACTTTAACAATAAAGGAACCAAGAATCCTTGGAGAAAAGGCTGATTCTAGGACTTGATCAGAAAATATATAAGACAAGTCTATCTTTAATTCTTGCTCAAAGAATTCCATTTTAATGGGACTATGCCAAAGACAATGAGCTAAATGGGCTCTTCGAGGCCAAAGCTGGAATAATTTGAACAGCAAAATAAAATAGTATGGGGTTACAACTCAATGTAAAATACTAACAATCAAGATAGCATACTTATATAAATACATAATTAGATAAATAAATGAATGGAAGAGAAGAGAAAATCATGTGCAGATTCTAAAAATTTATGTAGATACTATACCCTCAAAGAGGAAGAGAAAAGCTCTTCACTCCTTAAGTGGGAATTGATCATAGTGACTTCCTTTCAAAAACTATAGTTTGCAAAGAAGAAAAGAGAGTGATTTAGTAGAAAAGCCTGACAAAAACTTGTTCAGCCATGTTATTAATTAACATCAAGTGATAGACTATGTTGATTGTATGGATACTTGATAAAATGAGATCAAAATTATACTTTACCTTTGTAGTATTTTTCCAGAACTCATAATTCCAGTATAATGAGAAAGAATTTTAAGTCATCCCAATAGAGGGATATCCTAAATATAGCTGAGCAGTACTTGTTAAAATTGTCAAGGTCATCAAAAACAAGGGAAGTCTGGAAAACTGTCACAGCCAAGTGGAACCTTAAGAAGACATGACCAAATGTAATGAGGGAACCTGAATTAGGTCCTGGAACAGAAAAATGACTTTACATAAAAGCTAAGAAAAAATAATGTAATATAACGCATCAGTACCGGTTCTTTAATAATGTGATATTAATAATAGGAGAAACTGGATGTGTGGTACATGTGAACTCTTGATACTATCTTCTCAATTGTTCTGGAAATTCATAACTGTTCTAAAAACTAATGTCTTTTTAATTCAGCCAGAGCAGGTATCCATTGGAATCAATACCAGGAGAGGTTCTCTAAAGTGGACTTTATCCAAGTTATATTTATTGCAATTATTGACCCTATCCCCTTCTGGACTAGAAATTTAAGAACTGATGCTGAGACCTTCACAAGAGAACCTTAGAAATCAAGGAGGGTCAATGGGGAATTAAGAAAGACACACAAAAATTTACGGAGAGAAAGTTGGGACCAGGAGAGACAACATCCTCTGGTGGGGGAACAATGACACAGAGCTAGTATAGTACATTTATTATATTATCATCAAAAGGTTTTTCGTGGGAAAGTTTCTGTAAAGCAAACAAGTTTGAAGGTCACAGCACTTGTGAGTCATTGTGGTTATCTTGTATGTTCAGAATCCTCTATCCCCAGCAGCTGACCTTAAGGTCCAGACTCATAGAGTTCTGGGCCTTTGCACAGAACTTCATCAGGCAGGGCATCACCATAGTAACTGGGCAATCTTTTTCTGCATATTTGCTCAGAAAGTTCCCAGCACAAGTTCAGCCATAGCCGTGAGGCAGAGACCATGATCTAAGTCACCACTCTTGCACATCTCCCCCTTTTATATTTTTAAAATGTAACTGATGCATGTCTATTCTAAAGTGCTTGAACTTGTATCAGATGAGCTTGCAGATGACTGAAAGAAAACAACATTGACTTAAGAGTAAGGAAATAAGTCCTAAGCAATACCATGAAGTATGTTTTAGTATATTCCAAGGATTGAAACCATT